TTTTGGAACAAATAAAAAGATATAAAAATTATAACAATTTACTAAATATAAATTATAATAATTTATATTTATCTAAAAACAGTTGTAAAAATAAAACTCAAATAAAAATCAAATTTAAAACAAAATTACGAAATTGTAAATACTAAAATATTTTTATTATAATTATTAATTTAATATATTAAAAAATTTTTACTGATAAAAAATAAAAGAGATAAAAAAAGAGAAAGGAACAAATCAAAGGAAAAACATTTTGATATTTAAAAAAGAAATATAAACTAAAATAATCATTCAACACCACTTGCTATTGACTTAAAGTGGTTAAAAATAAATGTTGAATCTATACCACTGCGATTAACTTAAAGTGTTCAAAAGATCAAAATAAAATTATGACAAATAAAATTTGTCTATTAAAAAGTGTTACAAATATGGCAACAGTTAGTTCACCCTGTTGTTTAATTAATAACACTATTGAATGGCGTTATTCATTATCTTTATATTTTATATAAGATTATTTCATTATATATTTTTAATTTAATATTTATTTTATTATTTATTTAATATAAATAAAATTCAAATTAAAAATTTCTCATTATTGTTTTGTATTTTATTTTTATTATATTTATTTTAATTCAAATAATATTATTAATATATTTTTTATTTTTATTGTTTTTTAATCATAATGACACTTATTTTTGGAAATTTTTAAAACTTTCTTTGTCAAGACTTTTAATGGTGTATAGATGACATCACTATACAACCTTTTGTTTCGATTTGTCTATGTAATGTTTTTATAACTAATGTTGGAAGCCAAGTGATTTTGTGTGGTTGTTTAATTTTGGCTAAACCAAACATTAATTCGATAGAAGTCGGTCTTACAGTATGACGTTGGTATTTCATCACCAAAAAGAGAATTCCCAAAAGTCTCGTCTTTTTGGCGCCAAAGATTTAGAGTCTCTATGTTTGGAAAGTATTTTATTGTCTTCTTGTTTACTGGAATTGGGTTAAAGTGAAATTTTGTCATGTTGTTTTTGTACTTTTTGCATACAAATTCTAAGTTAATGAAGTCTTTGATCGTTGCGAAGTATTTTGACACTACCATGATGTGATACCCTCAATTTTCACCATTGAAATATTTATTCTGCTTTTAAATGAAAATATTATTAATGGTGGTTGTGAGGTTCAAACAAAAAGTTGTTTAAAAAATAATAATTTTATTAATTATTATTTTAATAATTATTAATTTTAAAAAACTTATTATTAGTAAAAAACGATTGTTTACAGTCAAAGCCTTTATCTATCGAAAATAGAACATAAAATGTATCTATTTGTTTAAAACGTTGGAACTATGTTTTTTTTCTATTTTATATATGAAAAAATGATGCCCTGTAAATCCATTCTGGATAACTCATTCTGTAAATTTCACATACTAGAAAACTTATTCTAAAAAAATCAATTGTTTTATTTTATTTATCATTTATATTTAAACCATTTTGATTAAAATAAATAAACAATTTTCAAATATTTATAAAATGTTAAAAATGATTCATTTATAAAAAATGAAAATTGGATTTTTTAATATCATTTTAATATAAATGGACTTTTTTGGTCAACCCAACTAATATGTTTGTTTCATGCCAAAAAAAACACTAAATGTTTTCTATGATATTTTAACTAGTAGTCTATTCATGTTCAACAATATTGAACATGTTGAAAATACCGAACTAACTATTCGTGACACTTTGTAAGAAAAAGAAAATGTCACATCAATTCAACTAACTAAAATGAACAATAACAATAAGTCGTATTGTCTGTAAAAAGTCAAAGACAACAATATTTACCTATTATAAATGATTACGTGTTTTACCAAACTGGATGCAACCCTCGCGCTTTCAAATGTATAGAAAAGAATTGTAAAGTTGCAATCAAAGCTATTAGAGACCTGGATGATAAAACCATTTTTATTTCATTCAAGTACATTTCTGAAATGTTTAAACATGATCACAAACCACACTATCCGTTTATCAAACTCAGTATTAATAACAAAATACAAGAACTTAAATTAAATTATGCAATCAATAATGTAATTATAAAATAAATGACGCTAACAAATCCATTATAAGTCACTGTATATACTCCATATTTTTGATAATAAATAGAGAAATTGGGTTCTCTCGACTTGAGCCATTTGAATAGTGTTTGAATTGAGATATCAAACACAATTAAGTATGGTGCCTTAAACAGTTAGGTATCATTTTTTTAAATGTTTCATTTGAGTCTTTTCTTCATACTTTTTAGTCTTGATTTTAAAATTATATCCAACATGTGCAGTTTTAGTAAAGAACTTTCCTTTCATTTACAATAAGTTTACTAGAGAGTTCACAATCAATTGTTACTCAACAAATCACTTCCACTCTTTGTCGACTGTTATAAACTCCAGAAGTACAATTTTTAATACAACTTGTACTTATGAGTATCTATCGCTCTGTCTTATGGGAACAACTGACGTGAGAACTTTTTGTATTTCAATGTGCACGTTCATCAATTTGAGGAATTTTATTGAAACATAAGGCTCGAAATTATAGTTTTCCTGTCGACAACGCAGTTCAGTGGAAAACCAATATCGAGTGATAAGACGTTAATTTTCTTTTTACTCACAGTAGTTATTTTTACATTATTCTTAAGTTCTCCATACTTTAACAGTGGATGATTGTTAATAATAAAGTTTTGAACTATCCACATTTTTACAAAATCTATTTGATTGTTTTAATGAATTAATATAAACATAGAAAAAATCAAATTGATGGTAATAAAACAAACACTGTATATTTTATTTGAATAAATTTTTTATGATTCAAATAACTTTAAAATAAAATATATAATAATTATAAAATGGTTCAAGTTCATATTTGTTGTTTTAAGTCAACTGCCTCAAAAGTACACATTTAATTTTTAAATATTGTGTAGTTTTGTTCGACTAAATAATTGATTAATAAATTTGTGTGATAAATTACGGTTATATTTTCTTTTATGTTTGCCAAATCTTTATTTTTTATTATAATAATAAAACACGTGCAGTTGGTAACTTAAATTAACACGATCATAACAACAAAATTTCGTTGTATTTGTATGTCAATTTCGGTAACATGAATTGTTTTTTTTAACCATAAGGTTGGTTTTATTTTTTATTGTATAATTTTGAATGTTTTTTTATTTTTGATTTTTTTAATTAATGTTTTTGAAAAAATACAAAATGTTTTTAATTAATAACAATAAATATTATAATTTACTATAATTTACAAACAAGCTGGACTTTATAATAAATTTATATATTTAATTTAAATTTTATTATTTTTTTAGATTTATGAATATCAGATATTAATAATAGATTTCGTTCAATTGTCTATTAATACTTTTACTCATAAATTTTGTTTGAAAAAATGACCCCAAAATTTATTATTTAAGTAACCACGTTTTAATAAAAGAACGCATTTTTCATGTTATTAATATTTAAAAAAAAGAAGGAGAACAATTGCTTAAATTGTCTAGTCATCACATAATGAAAAATGCCTGACAAATTATATAATCAAATTAATTTTAATAGTAACTTTGATCTAACAAGCAATTAATAATTCATTTTTACCATCAAATTCAGAATTAATTTTGCATCAATTATAGAACTATCTTTAATTAACCAAAAATCTATAAATGCCAATACAACGTAATGAAACATTATTATTCTTAAACTAATAATAATATTTTTAATAATAATTGGCAACAAACTATTTATATAATTATACATGACACAATTTGATTTGTATGACACACATATAAACATTCCATTTTGGATAGTTCTTTTGTGTTATTATATAAGTGAACTGAAAATGAATTACTTGAACTTTCTCAAATGGAATATCAACCAGTCGCTCAATCAAATGACCAACAACCTTTATTAGCTCCAACACAAATACAACCGACTCAGCCTCCTATGCAACCGACTCCACCAACTCAAATCCCTTATCAACAACAATACCAACCACAACCACCACAACAATACCAACAACCAATCACGGTGGGCACAGCTCCTCAAGTCCAAACACAAGGCGCTCCAATTTCGTTTGGTCATATGCCACAACAAGTCGTTTGCCCAAATTGTCAACAAACCGTTTTGACAACTGTCAAATATGAAAATGGCGTGTTCTCATATTTGATGTGCATTTTGATCTGCTTTTTCACTTCCTTCTTTGGATGCTGCTGCATCGGTTTGATCTTCTTGTGCATTCCACTCGTTCAAACTGCAGTTCATAGTTGCCCAGAGTGCAAAAGAGTCATCGGCATGCAACAACCTAAGTGATTTCTTTTAATCCATTTTTAGGCATTTTCGTTGGCATATGCCACTTAATTTCTCTAAAGTAAAATCGTCCAATTTCTTTTCCATTGAAACTATATTATAATAATTAATTATACTATTAAATAGTATCGACGGTCATAATGAAGAATTAAACTATTTAAAGCTATAAAGATTTTTATTATTGCAAATTTGAAAGTTTGACGTATTGAATAACATTTATAAAAACAAAAATGAAGCACAAAAGAACATAAAATAAAACAATCACTCCTCCTCGTTTTTGTCGATATCAGTAACAGTGAAATCTGCGAAACAAATTGGTTTGAGTGTCTCTAATACAAGCTTTCTTGTTTCTTGTTTTGTGAGTGGGTCGAACTCGATAGTGGACACCCCCATCCCGACCTCCGAAAACTGAGTCAACTCATTGTTAAAGACAAGACGAAGTTCCCACTCGAATCTGAAATATTCCTCAGGCTTTTTACTGATGCTTTCTTGTTTTCTGTAATGTATCACATAAGCTTTGTCTTGAAACACAATGACTATCTCCCAAAACATGGGGTCTAAATGTTACTATTATTAATAGTATTAATACTATAAATTATATCTATATAGTATAACTAGTATACATTCTATTACTAGTTACTTGTATAGTAAAAAGAGTTATATATAGTCACAAACGAGAGTCTTTGAAAGGCATTGTCCCACATACCATTTTCAAACGGAGAGTTGAATTTGCTATAATCTTTTGATTTACTCCTTTTAGGAAATTGATGACGGGAGACGACGGCTTGAACTTACCTTCTTCAACAAAGACCTTAGAAAGAATTCGCATTAAAAAGGTCTTTTGGACACTCATGTCTTGGTCGTTACTCATTACGGCATTCCACTCGTCTTCGATTCGCTTTGTTTGTTCGTCGCCTTCTAATATTTGTGTAATACACTTGATCAAGTCGAAACAGTCACCCGCAGTGTTAGTTTGATACTCTTTATCATCGGTAGGGAAGAGAACGTCATATTCTCCATTTTCAAGTTCTTTAGTGATTCGAAGGTGCTTTAAAAGTCGCGGTAAGTCCCCGGCGATTGGAAATGATTCAATGCGTTCTTCGTTGATCACACGTTTGGTACTTTCTTGCCAGTCGAAATTTTTTTTGGGTAATAATGCTTGAGGAGGGTTCGTGGTTATCACGGGAGTCCCATTTTGCTTAGCATCAAAGGATGTACTCACCCGCTTGGACCGCCGCTTCTTCTCTTTTTCTTTCTCTTTCTTCTCTTTTTTCTCCTTTTCTTTGGCTTCTTTCTCCTCTTTACTTTCCTTCGGCTTTTTGGTGAAGTGAAGAAACGAAAGAAAGCCGTGCTTCTTCTTGTGTTCTTCCTTCTCGGACATGACAAATATCAAGTTCAGTATTACAAAGTCTACGAATTAAAATGGACAGGAAAGTTAAGTTGGTTACATGTTAAAAGTCGGGAAAATAGGACGTCTTTTTTTCAACAAAAAAAAAGGTTTTTGACTTTTTTTCGATTTTTAAAGATGAAGTGGTGTTTGTAGTGTTGAAAATGCCACTCTATTTTTTTTTATTTCAATTGTCGTGTAATTACGTGAAAAATAAGTCTAAAAATCTAGTGGTTTTTTATTATAAACGTTTTGTTGCATTGTGGTTTTTTTAAAAAATTTTTTAAATTGTTGTGTTGGGGTGTGAACTCTTTGTCTTTTTTTTACCAAATCAATTTTTATATTAATGAAAAATATAGACGTGGCGTCGTCGATTCAAATTACATCGGTCGAATTGTTCAAAAGCAAAAAATATGACAAATTTTATAAAATAATTTGTTTTATTATACAATTATTTTAAAAGAAAATATACTATTCAGTTTTGCAAGTCATTGTGCAAATTTCTTTTTTTTTATAGAAAACTATTATTAATTATTATTTATTGTTTATTTTTAATTTATGTTGCTTATGGTTTTCCAAAAACGAAATATTTTTCTAATTGAAAAATCATAAAAGAAATAATATTTTAACTATTTGAATGTAATAAAAATGTTATATTTTTTAGTTAATAAACAAATAAAAATTCAAAACGAATAACAGTTTACCATTTTTTTATTTTTTCTTTTAAAACATCAAATTTTTTTAATTATTAATAATTTTAATGATTTTCATATAACTAAATTGGCAATTTCGTTGGAATTATACCATAAATAAACTACCAAATAATAAAACAAATAACTAAATAATACTAAAGTTAGCTGTTTTACTTTGTTAGAAATAACTTATAAATGATTATATTAATGATTTACTATTTTACATCATAATAATAATAAAAAAATGATAGAAAGAAACACTTCGAATTTTCAAGTTTTTATAACCCTTTAAAAATTTTGATTAAGAAATCATTTTCTTAAAAATAAAAATGATAGGACCACATCCTTTTCGCACACCAAAACGAAACAGCAAAACTGTGTTACAAGAAGACGATTTCATATCTCAAGCGAAGTCGATCATAAAACGTGATTTTTTCGGAACCGAAGATTCCACCGCGCCGAATTGTTCTCTTTCCGAGTTTTTACGAAAAAACACAACAGAAGACGATCACTCGTACAAAACGATTTCTCAGAAAGAGTTCAAACAATTTGCACTCCAAAACCATCTCAAAATTGATTCCTCAACAAATCGTCTTCTCCTGAACGATTTATTTTTCCCGAGAGGTCCCGTCCCACAAAAGTTCGTCCGTCCCACTCCAAAACGAATTGAATACAAAAACACATCTCTTTTAATCGATTCTCTTCACGACGACGATGCCCCAAAAGATCTTTCAAAAACAATTCTTCACAATCTTTCAAAAAAACTCTCCGACGAGAAAAAACCACGAAAACAAAACTGAACTATTCTTTTAACTTCTTGAATTATTTAAAGAAGTTTTAATTTCCCAGTCACTTCATTGATCACACTCTTCGGGCCTGGTCCAATCCCTAAGACTGTTATAGACCCCGGCTCAACTTGTGTTCTTCCTGCATCACAAATCTTCTTTGTGATCAATCCTAACCCCTTTGCTTGCTTCTCTAACTCATTCCTGTCGGTCATTCTATTATTCCTTATTATACTATTTATTTATACTTTTTTTATTATTAATTTATAGTTTCATTTGTAATGAAAGAACAAACAGCTCCTCAAGGTCGTTCACGTTTAACGCCACTTTTGCTTGGCCACAGTACTGCCAACTCTCTAACGCCTTTTTATCTGTTTTTTGTGCTTTTAAGACACACCCGACCGCTGCGTGTCCACATTGCGCAGCTATTTTGCCTTTCCCCATTTTGAGGTCTTTTCTCACGCAAAGGACTAATTTGTACTCTTCATTGGGCTCTTCAAAACTGTCAGGGTTCTTTTCTTTACTTTCAATTTGATTGTTTTGTTTTCGTCGTGTTAATAAAAACACGATAACAATGAATTGTGTGACGACAATCACTGTCAATGTAATGATTACAGCACTCATTACTTATTCAGTAGAATCAGGGTTTGTCAACTTATATAAATATATATTACTACTCAATACAAAAAACAATCAATTTTCACACTAACGTCCGAGAAAAGTCATTCAACGTGTCAACTATCCATTTATACTCCGGTCGTGTCGCAGGGTCTTCCGCCCAACACTTATTAATGACGGCGATGATTGGTATCGGGATTTTCTCTGACGGGCTCAGCCTCTATTCATTAGTTATAGTTTATTTTTTATATTTATACTATACTCCACAGTACTATATTTATACTATATTATATACTATATTATACTATATCTATACCATACAAAAGAACAAACTCTGCCTGCCCTCACAAATTCTTGTATCTTACTCACACTCATCCCACCAAATGGCTTCTTCCCAGAGAAAAGGGTATACATCGTCATCGCAAAACTATAAACATCACTTTTAAGTCCGTAGCCCTCTCCTCTTAAGATTTCTGGAGACATATATTCCAATGTCCCAACTTTCTCTTTTAACACCTCTCCCGGCGCGATTCGGACTGCGCACGAGAAGTCGTGTAATTTGACGTGGGTCATTCCGTTTAACGTTTTCTTGACAAGTCTCAGTTTGTTCGGTTTCACGTTCCGATGGAGGATTTTCTCGCTCGAAAGGTATTGCAACGCCGTCGCCAAATTGACGCAACACCGCAACACAAATTTCAGTGGCAATTGTTCTTCCAATATCATTTCCAAGTTATGTTGTGTATCTGCCTCCTATGTGTTATTACACTCCCTTCCTCATGACAAGAACAAACTAATAACAAGAAGTTTGAATGGAAGTTAATAGCTACCATTTGAACTACCGTTGGGTGATGTATATCGGTATACGCCGTTATAACATTCTCAAACGTTTTGTCCATGTCGGGGATCGTTTTGTCGTATTTAAAGAGATACGCAAGTTCGCCTTTGTACTCAACTGGTTTCCCTTTGACTTCGCCTACCTTCACTTCATCTTCCATCGTTCGTAACTTCTCTAATATCACTTCCATCTCTTTGTCATACGATCCTGCAGACTTCTCTTTATGAAGCTTTTTGTCTTCAATTAATTTGCCTTTGAGCGGTAGACTTTCACACCGTTCGATGTTTTGTTGATGCTCAACATGTGGCGATGGCGAGATCGATACTGGTTTGTCCGTGATTTGAATGATCTCTTTCGAGGACACTTTGGGGATCACCCCATACATCTGAAACCGTAACCCTAATACACTCTCTTCTCTCCCTATCAACACTTTCTTCCTCACTTGAAACGTCACTTCGCCGGTCAACCCAACAGTTGCTACCGTGTTGAAACATATCGTTATTGTGACGGATTTCCGGCTCTTCTTTTTAATATCAATTTTCTCTTCGTCGACCTCCATCGTGTATTTGGGGCTTGTACTCATCACCGTGGTCATCCGATATCCATCATTCGTGGTGTTGATAAATGTGATCGTCTCACTCATCGGAACACCTTGGATCGCATAATGGTGCCCAAATGTCAATTTGGTGACTTGCGGCTCGATCTCAAACGGAAATTTCACAGACGCTCGTAACCCAACAGAAGAAGTGTATGACTCCTTCGAGAGTGACATTTGTTTTTTAAGTTCTTATAAACACCTCCTGCTTTATTTACTTTGTGTTTTTTCCCTACATCTATTTTTCGTTTCTGATTGAAATAAGAAAAGGTTCTTCATTTTTTCATTCAATTTTACTGTAAATATTAATTTTATTTTTAAAGTTTTATTTTCGTTGTTACAATTAAGTTTTTTTTGGTTGCAAATCCAATTGGTTGTTTAATTATAAATTATTTTATATTAAAATATTTAAATCAAAACATGTTTTTTTGTTAGAAATTTATCATAATATCTTGGTTATTTATAGTTCAATTTAACTAAGTACAATTCCCCATAATCAAAAATATAGTTTATTTACATTTATTTATAGTTCTTTTCCTGCCCTCAACTTGAAACATTTTTTCATTGTCAAAAAAACGAAATTCACATTATCCGAACATAAACAAAAAACAATAATCCTAATTTCCCACCTCTTCGGTGCAAAGCGTTTTAAAATTCTCCATTCTCCATAAACTTTCCATCTTATATCTTCGCATTTTTTATAAAAACATCACACCACTGACGTTGTTGAAGAGGAGACGGCGCAGAAAAGTTGAAAACCCTCGTACCAAGCCCAACCATAAACCCATTTTTAATGTTTTCGATCTCTCCAATGAGGGCAACAGTAAGGTTCTCTGTCACAAACGCTCTATCCACTTCTTCAAGCCCAAACCCTGTTAATACCGTTGTGTCGAAACCATAGAACTCTTGGTAGAACTTTGCGTTCATTCCCTTCTTATCAAGCACCTTCCCTTGGTAATTTTTGACTTTACAGACCACGAAGATATTCTTAAACAAGAAACAGACCTTTGGTTCTTCGTGCGTTTTGGCCTTTTCGACGTCAACATTTCTAAGCATCCCAAAGAAGACAACTTCTTCGTTTTGTCCTTCTTTTTCATCAAACGTAAGTTTCTTTATAAACAAACTTTGTAAATAAACCGCGCTTTCTCTTCGTTGTACAAGAGTTTTTTGGTTATCTAGTTCTTCCTCCGTGTTTTCGATCTTCTCCAGTGAGTCCTTTATCGCCTCGTAATCAAAATGTTTTTCGGATATGTTCATGGCAAGATCCCTCATCAACTCTGGATACACGGAGAAATGTGAAAGTGGAGCTATCAAGTAAGTTGATATCGGTAACAACTGCGTCACAACATTTCCAGTGTTTGCCTTCTTTTGTTTGTTGATGTAAATGCTGATGCTAATTATCAAACTGTCAGTTAAGGTTTTTGATGACGAAAAGACTGGGAACCTACTCACAAAATACGGACAGTTCAAAATGTAGCTCAGGTAGACCCTCAAGCTCTCAACGTATTTTTCTATGATGCTTCCCATTGCGACACACGACCTTTCCTCCTCGTCGATAACAGGGTCTGAGTACGCTCTATCCATCTCGGCCACAAGTTTTTGTGTTACAATCAAAATTGGCTCAAATCGATTTTTAAACTCTTCCGAAAATTCTTTCATCCCGCTCCAATTAATATTTT